TCACGTAAGCTATCGCTGCAATTAACCTATTATCTTCCAATAAACATTTACTAAAACTGGCTACATAAAATATAACTACAGACTAGATTCACGAGAGGTCGGCTAATGTGTGTAAAAGTAAAAAAAAGTAATTTCATTAATTTACCAGCGAACGTACTTCTGAAGCACTGAAAATGAATGGGGTTCAATGCTGGAATTATCAGTGTTTGGAACTATCGGCCGCTCCACGACACGCATTACTTCCGCATTCATAAGTTCCTATGGCGGTCTATGGGAGAGTCGCCACTCTTTCTCTCCATGGCTCTGGTGCCTGCATCCTGATGGCTCTGTTTGGGGTCACTCCCTGGCTCCTTCCACTGTCATCTCCTCCCTGGTCCCTTCTTCCAGCTCCACGTCCTCCTATCTTTGTTTGTTGGTTTTTTTATTGTTTCCTGTTCTGTTTCCGGTGTTAGTATTTGTTATTCATTGTTTAATTAATGCACTGCAGCTGTTTCTCATTTCCTTTCATTGGTCTACATTTGTAAATACAGCCCTGTGTTTGTAGTGTTCTTTGTCCAATAATTCTTTGTGGCTATTTTAAGTGGTTGCTCTGTTTTTGTATTTGGAGCGTGTTATTTTGAGTTTTCATTCAAATCAACTGTTGCATCGAGATCCAGCCTTTATTTCATCCTCGCAGCAACACCTTGCTGAGTGTTTGCAAAAAAAAATAAAATAAAATCTACTGCTATGATAATTTCATTTTCATGCTGTCATACAAATCTCTGCTGAGAAAAAAACATGTGCTGTTTTGAGCATGAGTTAAGGACAACATTTTGGAAAAGGGTCCAATTTTGTCATGGGGTGGAGACTGATAACATGCTGCATGCAGTTCACCTGGGGCCTGGGTGCTCCTCAGTGTCGCAATAACATAATTATTCAGTCTACAGTGTTGGTGAACCAATGTGTAAACCATCCATCTTCGCTGTTTAAGTTGTACCCATGGAAATAGGACATACTGTCTTCATTCTGAGAACATTCCCTAATATTTTCTCCAAGTGATTTCTGTTGACTGATTTGAGCTGACATTATAGTCTTTTTAGAACTGCTTTACAGCATAAATTTAAGTGTTCTCATATTTGAAGTTTGCATTGATTCTGTTATATGTATCGTATAAAGCACTAAAATAAAGGTGACTTGACTTCATGTGTTTCAGAGGACACATTTGGCCTTGAAGGCTTGCTGTGAAGGCTATGTTGTCTTGTAGACCGCTTAAGTAATACAGTAAATACATATTAGTATACAAATAATTAACATTTATCAATTGATAATTCTGTTACATCAATTCCACTTACTTATTGACAAAAAGTTGTTCTTTTCAATGGCAAACATGCATTTGAAGACATTAAGAGTTAATGAATTAACATACAGTTTTTTGGTGAATAGGCCAATTATCCTTGATTCCCTTACAGTGCATGTGCATCATTTAGTCACCTAACAAGATGTCAACACCATGAGCACTATAGGACAAGTCAAATGGTTTCGCCCTCTCAGCAAACTCTCTCTTGATCATGTCATTAAAATGAAGGTAGTAAATGTATAACAGTTCAGTGAGCAGTTTGGCTGCATGTGTGCATAATAGTACAGACTCAACACTACTGACAGGACTCTGCCAAATTCCTTTCCACCCAACCCGACCCATCCTCCACCTCCCTTATCCACAAACACCATCATAATTGCAACATGCTCATCTCTAGGCTGTCATGCTTCCACACATTCCAGTAAAAGAGTCTAAAAAACAAGATAAATTATCTCCAGAAACAAGAAATACAACTTTCTGTGAAAACACTACCTTCTTTGTCCATTGTTTGTTTCAGCACAGTATATCACTAATCCCTTTCTATTTTTCGGCAAAGAAAGTATAGCCTAGTTTTAGAAAATGACACTATCAATGTCCTGAAATGTTATAAGAAATAAAATGGCGTAAATAGTCAAAGTTCAAATAACGGTGCTTTACACAGAAACTATTCATTTTTTCTTTTCTTCTTTTCTTTTCTTTTCTTTTCTTTTCTTTTCTTTTCTTTTCTTTTCTTTTCTTTTCTTAACCTTAGAAAGAGGTGCTCTATCTTCATAAATTATGATAATCATCATCAGAAGGCCAGACTAAATATTATATGAGCTCATTAATTTCAATTCATTTTATATTAGATCTGCCAATTTTGCAGCTTTATTATAAATGAATAAATGATGAATAAATAAACAATAAACAAACAAACAAAAATAAATAGATAAATTCATATATTAATATAAATTTGTGTGATTTTGTCATTATGGCCACATACAGTATGTGAAATGGTCACAGGCACAAAGGCTGAGAAGTGCCAAAGAAAAACTTAAAGGGGTCATTTAATGCCATTTTGTACAAGCTAATATGATTCTTTAGAGTCTAAATTAAAAGTTTGTAATATACTTTAATTAAAAATTCTCATTAGTATTGTAAGAACAGCACGCCGTTTCAGTGCATATGACTTTAAATGATAATGAGCTTTGCTGACTCTGCCTCTCTGTTCTGTGCGTACACCATTTGTAACACAATAACCATAACGCGTTGTTCATTATAAACGTGGGATTATGAATTATATTGAGAACGTCGTACATAGAAAACATGCCGTAATGTACCCTGAGTCTAAACCTTAGACTCATTCATCGTGAAGCGTGCAAGCAATTTGCAAAGATATAAATATTAATATAAAGTTTAATAAAACGTTACACATACTTCAGTTGTTCTAGAGGTTCAGCAGGAACACAAATATCTGGTACCGATCCTTTATTCAGGAGCAGCTTCTTAGCAAATCCAGCTTTATACTGACCCTCGTTTATAAAGCAGTCTGGTGAGAAATGATTCGCGCAAACATGAGAGCATTGACGTTGCTCGTGGGGAATATTCCCTTCGAAAACAAACTCAGCCACTGCGTCTTCAGCGGTTCGGATTTAGGAACATTAAAATGACTGCTGTGTTCGTTATTACACCCAAGAACAGAACACCACAATCGCTTAGACGCCATTCTGCTCATAGACAGTGCTCCAGCATATCAACAATGACCGCGCCGGTCCGCGCAGACTATGATTGACAGCTCTCACGAGCGAGGGCGGGTCTGTGTTGAAACCCGGCTGTCAATCAACAATCGTGGGAGGGGCTTCCGAGCGTGTGACGTCACACGGTCGAACGGCTCGATTTGAGGCAGGGGAAAACATATAAGGAGATTAAAACAAAAACACTGGATTTTTATCATTATATGATGGTTGTGTACAGGCACTGCCAACACACATTTCAGTACAATCAACTTTAAAAGGTGCATGTACCATTATATGACCCCTTTAATGGAGCTTTTCCACTGCATGGTACGGTACGGTACGGCTCGCTTCGGCTCGCTTTAAATGGTACCTGGTCTGTTGAGGTTCCAAGCGTACCGTACCGGTACTAAAATGTGACGTCAAAACACTGCAGATCACTGATTGGTCAGACAGAATCGTCACTACCAGCGTCATTGTATTTGCGACACGAGACACTAACCCGCTAGATTTAAATAGCCAGCAGTAGACAACAGCCAACGCTGTAGCACCTGTTTTTAAAGTATTTGCTTGAAAAAAGAAGATGAAAACTTCAAAAAAAGAAATGGCTGAATCGTGGTCAGTGGACGAGGTGCAGACGTTCCTCTCGTTGGTTGCCGAGGAGTTGCGCAACTATAACGATCAGTCCCACCCACTTTGAAGAGGTACTAACTGCAGTGGAAAAGCAACCGAGCTAAAGCGAACCGAGCCGTGCCGTACCGAGTCGAGTCGTACCACGCAGTGGAAAAGCGAAGCGAGCCGAACCGTTCCGCGCCGAGTCGAACCGTACCGAGCCGAACCGTGCCGTACCAGCAGTGGAAAAGCGCCATAAGAGTCGGCTAGTGGTACCCTCCATGGCCAAACAAAAATACAACAACTAACCACCTCAACAACACTAAAAAAATCATAAAAAACATACTTGACCTCCAACACATGGTTGTGCAAATTTTGGGACAGCTGTTTTTTTTTTTTTTGTGGCTATTATTTGGTATTTTAATAAAATAATTTAGGTTTTTATTGAAATTAATTGACATGTAGTTCAACAGACTGGTTGTGCGATTTAAATTATTGGAAGAAGTCTAGAAGGTGCGACCCGGGAATACTTACTAGGCTACTTTATAAGTAAATTTTATGGCCTAATAATTTATCTCACTTACCTTATAGTTTGTTCAACAAAAACATGGGATTTAAGTCTCATGTTTTAAATTGCACCATATTGAAAGCATGTAATAGTATAATTATTTGAACACTTTCTGTGTTTTGTGATGTTTTTGTAGCTCTCATGAGTCTCTCTGAGTCATTTTTTTTCAGTCTGAGTCACTCTCTTATCAGTGTTTCAAGAGTTTGTTTGAAGGGAAGCATGTATCCTGTCCTTTTGTTGTTCTCCTTTTCTACTTGTTTTACACCCCGTCCCCCCGATTTCCTTAAAGACTTTGCATACTTCCATACTCTGCAAAAGACTTAATGCATCCCAGTATCAGACAGTGCAAATCAGAAGCCAGTGACATACAGAACAAACCACAAAACATGAAAGGTAATAATTTAAAATTAATAAATCACGCCCCACGTGAAAAGGCGTGCACATGTGAGTAGTTTCAAGCTGGGATTGCTTTTTTATTATCTTTTTTTTTAATGGACTTAACCGGTGATTAAATGCAAAACCTAAAAAAGGTTTCTTTTATTTGCTGAATGTGTAAATGATGACTGTCTGTATAATCACCTCCTACACTCCACCCAAAAAGATGGAGATTAATTGTGTCATGCATTAATCATGTCTGGAAACTCTATAACAGGTGAAAGGCTACTCTGTTACAGTATAACTTCCCTCTCTCTCTCTCTCTCTCTCTTTCTCTCTCTGTCACTCTCTCCTACACACACAAACTCAGAGGGAGTTTTAAGGGGCAGTTTGGGGTGGAGTTTAAGCCTCCCAGCCAGAGCTTCCCAAGCTAAGGAAGTCAGAGACAAAGCGTAGTTTGACCTGTTTAGTGTACTCAGACTCCCATTCAGCCCTATTGATACATCAAGTGAGAAGCTGAGGCAATGCCACACCCATAATAAAGACTTCAATGACACGAGAGTCGTACCGCGCCCAGAGGACTTTATCCGAGCTCGTCTGTGAGATACACTCAGTGTGGTGGAGTCCAGAGAAATTCAACTACTGCAGATCACATACACACACAGCAGGATGTATGAGCGCGCGCTGTTCTCGGTCTGGCTGCTTACTTTGGTAAGTTACATTTTGTTGTGTAGAAAGTTAATGTCGTCAGTTGTTGTTTTTTGCTTTGTAGGCTACTTTTTATTTTTTAGGTCATATAACTGTAACGTTAGGCTATTGTGGGCCTACCAGAATTCTTACCGTATCCTTGCTGATTTACCTTGGTAACCATAGTTTCCGTCAAAATGCTAGTTAGTTGTTATTAGCCTGCCCTACTACACTAAACAAATATTTTCTTAAACAAATCTAAACGCTATTAAAATGAAATAGAAGAAAATAGAAGAAAAAAATTATAAGAGGATACTTGTTTCTAAATATGTTTGGATAAACGTCAATATTTTAATAGTTTTATAAGTAAAATAAACAGAAAATGTATCCTTAAAACAATTAAAACATTTTGACGACAAGTATCTTGTTGCAAGGATAGCCTACAGTTTCTGATCATTATAATTTTTATTCTCAAATAAATGTATATTTAGTTTTAAGCATGTTTAGAAATGTTTACTTTATTTTACTTTCTCCTGATATTAGAATATTTCTTTCATTATAATTTCATTTTTGTTCATAACAGTTGTGGTTACCATGTGATCACGTTTTATTGTAGTCAATAACTGTAGTGCTATGGTAATTTGGTTGAAACATTACCCAGATAGCAGACCAACACTGAATCAACATTGAATGCATTAACCAAAATGAGGAGCATGAATGTGAATAAAGTGTTGAATGAGGAAACAGATGGATTGACATAGCCTATGTCTAAGTTCCCCCAGTGGGGGAAGCTGACCAAAAATCTACATTGATTCAATGTTTGTCTTTTTTAACACTGAAAATCATTGAAATATCAACATTGATCCAATATTATTTAGCATTGAATTTTCAACCTCAACCAAAAGATGATTCTGATGGAATTTCAACATGGAATCAATGTCACCTATCTGGGTACCATGGTTTATAAAAAAAAAAAAAAAAAAAAAATCTCCAGTGATAATAAAACATTATGAATAGATACTTTTTCCTACTTTCCCCCCAAACTACTTAGAAAATTATAAATAGTAAATTTATAAATAAATAAATAATAACGTTCTCACTAGTATAGCATAATGAAGTACTCACTAATTAGTTATGTGCTGTTGAATAGTCTGATTGATTTTTTCCCCCCTTCACCAAATGGTTGGGATAATTGGTCTACTTGGTATCACCCATAAATTCAAATATTTACATTTAATTAATTTGCTTTGAAGACTCAGTAGTGATATTGTAAATGTCGTCATTCATGCATTCATTCATTCATTCATTCATTCATTCATTCATTCATTCATTCATTCATTCATTCATTCATTCATTCATTCATTCATTCATTCATTCATTCATTCATTCATTCATTTCAATTCACTGACCACTAATGTTGATTAATGAGAAAGGTGATTATTATAAGATTATCTAATGTTTCTCATTTATATAACAGAAACAATGTCCGTGGTGGGTCATTTTTGTTAATGATGATTCGACTTAATCCCAAATGCAAGTTTTCAAGAGAGTGATTTCTTCAAAATTGTTATATACATTCAACTACATTTTTATTTCCTGCATGTTTTAATGACATTTGTATTGCCCTTTTTGTTCGGCATCAGTAAATATCACATGAATACACAGTCACAGTAAACACTTCAGCACTCTACTAAAGCAACATTTTCAAGTCTGTAGATCTACAGGTTCCTCTGGACAATTAGGCTGGTTTCAAGATAAGATAAAGCTGATATCTGACCGAAACCCATCACATTACACCATGAAATGAGACAGAATGCCATTGAGCAGCATGTAGAGTACTTGACAACTGCTGTCGATGTTGTTTCCTTAAAGCTGGTTTTGTTCTTATGTTCTTATTATATTTGTATTAGTCACATGTCATTCTTGATAATGCCATTGATTGTTTCGGTTTATCACTGCTTGTTTGCCACACATGTAATGCCTTTATATTATGCAGCTGTTTAGAACAAGTAACATATAATCAGAGGTGGTAATTCATATAATGTGGTGGACAAAGAGTGTAAAACAAGAAAATAAGACACTGATTAAGAACGTTTTTTTTTTTTTGCAGTGTAAACCAATCACTCCAATACAGAATAGTATGCAGTATACTATTACAACAATGAGTATATAATGTTTGAAATATTTGTAAAATGCAATCTAGTTCCTTCGTTTGATCTTAAGTTTAATTTACAATTAAACATATAGCTGCAAGCAGCAATTATCGGGGCCAAGCGCAAGAAGACGATTAGACATGCCAACATGGCTGGGAGTGTCAGACCAACTGCAGCAAGGAACAATTAAAGACATTTTAATATGATTTAAGGCAAAATAGCTGAATATTCATATATACAGTAACTAAAAATATGATTTAATGGATTATAACTTTCAACCAATATTTGGCATTGCAGAGATAAAGCCTGAATAGTCTTTTTAATTATTTTAATTTAAATATATATTTTTATTATTATTATTAATTATGAATAATAATATATTTGCTGCTGCGTTATATATGAAAAACGTGTTTTGTCTATCAACACGTAATCCATAACTTTTAGTCGGCACAGTCTGGAGATGTTACGATTCGATTTTGGTGAAAATCGGACAAACGGTCTAGGAGGAGTTTGAAAAAGTAGGTATTGAATGAAAATCAAGATGGCGGACAGGAAGTTCGGCCAAATACGGCAAACGTGGTATCTATGTTCTCGGCGTTACTGAAGGAATCTATTAAAGGAATACTCCACTTTTTTTGGAAATAGCCTCATTTTACAACTCCCCCAGAGTTAAACTGTTGAGTTTTACCGTTTTTGAATCCATTCAGCCGATCTCCGGTTCTGGCGATACCACTTTTAGCATAGCTTAGCATACATCATTGAAGTGGACAAGACCATTAGCATTTCTAAAAAATAAAATGACCAAAGAGTTTCTATATTTTTCCTATTTAAAACTTGACTCTTCTGTAGTTACATCGTGCACTAAGACCGACGGAAAATGAAAAGTTGCGATTTTCTAGGCTGATATGGCTAGGAACTATACTCTCATTCCTGCGTAATAATCAAGAAACTTCACTGCCGTACCATGAGAGCAGCAGGCGTAATGATATGACGCAGCGCCTGAAAATAGGCCACCTTCCGTCAAAACAACGGAACTATTTTCAGGCGCTGCGTCATATCATTACGCCTGCTGCTCTCATGGTACGGCAGTGAAGTTTCTTGATTATTACGCAGGAATGAGAGTATAGTTCCTAGCCATATCAGCCTAGAAAATCGCAACTTTTCATTTTCCGTCGGTCTTAGTGCACGATGTAACTACAGAAGAGTCAAGTTTTAAATAGGAAAAATATAGAAACTCTTTGGTCATTTTTTTTTTAGAAATGCTAATGGTCTTGTCCACTTCAATGATGTATGCTAAGCTATGCTAAAAGTGGTACCGCCAGAACCAGAGATCGGCTGAATGGATTCAAAAACGGTAAAACTCAACAGTTTAACTCTGGGGGAATTGTAAAATGAGCCTATTTCAGAAAAAAGTGGAGTATCCCTTTAAGACCAGTGTCATTACAATAGGCAGATTCATTATTCATTGTTATAACATTTGACCAAAAGGTGGCGCTGTCTCGAAATCTTTTGAGTACCTTCAGGGCATGGTGCTGATGGCACATACTGAGTTTCATAATGTTACAGCAATGCATTCGTTAAGTATAGCATTTTATATCACAATACTGCATTGAAGTCAATGGCAATTTCATGTTTTTTCTATTATAGCCCCAACAAGAGGCACAATACTACTATTTTTTTATGTGTCCTCATAGTGAGCCCATACATGTGTGTGTCAAATTTGGTGAAACTATCTCATTTCGTTTTGGCGTTACAGACATTTATATGTAGGTATTTCAAAAAATTCAAAATGGCGGATACATTTACATGACGGTAAATGACGTCATAGGGTGCAAACGAATCGTCTTGAGCCAAGGAATATTTTGCTACTAGCCCTTATGGTTCAAAAGTTATAAGCATAAACATGAGTGAAACTTTGGACAGTTGATGGCTAGAGGGATTCTGATTTATTAGAACTGGAAGTCATGTTTTAAGCTTGATACTTGCCTTTTACTTTTGCTCAATCGTACTGTGGAATGTGATGCTTCCCTTTATGCTCACTCTCACTCAATTTCAATTCTTCCCTCAGGTGCTGTTTCAGAGCGCTGAGTCTTGTGAGTTGAGGCCTGTGCTTGCTCAGGTTCCTAAGAGACTGCCCGCCGGTTATGTCATCTCTGAGGGCACGGAAGCATGTACGTTTTGTGGTTTTACTAATCCTTTTGTCCGAATGACATGAATTGACCTCGTCTGACTTTCTACAGATTAAGCTTTTCCTTCAGCTGATGTGGTTAATTAAGCTACATAACATAACAGTAGCAAAGTTAATTGGTTAGTTATTGGCAAAAGAATTGCTCTCAATTTGCTCCCAAAAATGAAATTTCTGTCATTATTCACTCACCCTCATGTAATCCCAAACCGGTGGGACTTTCTTTGTGACCTTCAAATGGACAGAAAGCAGCATTAAAGTATTGCAAGAGTCACATGAAAATGAAAGGTCTATTGTTTCTATTTCGTTATTTTTGGTTTTAGTTTAAGTAAGTTTAGTACTTGTTTTATTGCAGTTGCTTTCAACGAATATTTATTTTATTGTATTTTAGCTTTATTTAAATTAACAAATTTTTTTTTAGTTTTAGTTAACAGTAATGGTGACAATTTTATGGCGCAACCTTTTTGAAGCTTGAAAACTTCAGTGCCCACTCATAGGAAGACACATGCCCACAACAATAGATTCAAACTACTTATGGTTTTGGAAAGACATAAGGCCTAGCTGTGGTTACCTGATGTTACTATTATTTTCTTTCACAGTGACCCTCAAAGGCTGTGCGGTCAAGCCCGTGGCCTTTACTTCCAGCGACCCTGACTTCGCTGTAAATACAGATGGGACCATTATCACAGTTCGTGGTTTGGTGATTACAACAAAACGGTTTTCTGTACTGGTGCAGGATGAGAGCGGCTTGGATTGGAGGGTAGACATTATCTTGTCCTGTAAAGATGAGGTAAAACTACGGTCTGTATTTCTTAACCATAAACCGTATGATCTGGATCAGTAGCATAAGTAATGTTTCTCTACATGTCCTGGCTTCAGGCATCTCAGAAGTCCAGCAGCGTGGCTCACAAGCGCATTAAGAGAAGATGGAGACCTTTGCCTTTCTCTCTTATTGAGAATGACAGCCCTCCATTCCCAAAGGACCTGGAGATGGTGAGACATTAGCTACATCTCTACTTAAGTCATTATATAACTCCCTTCCGGTTCCATCCTCCCTTCCTCGATCTCAATTTGACCTTTTTTATACTTCTTGTTTTTTTTGCTTACTGTACATTGCTGTGTGTCTCTTCACAGATTGCATCTGATTCCTCTGTAAATTACACAGTGTATTATCAGATCAGTGGACAGGGTGTTACGACAGATCCTGTGGGCCTATTCCTGCTCGACAGGACAAATGGCATGCTGAAGGTGACCAGGGCCGTTGACCGTGAGCAGTACCCACAATTCAACGTGAGGCTCTATATTCCAGGCCTTATACAGAGAATGGTGCAGGAGCTAATGTTTTGGAGTATGATTACATCATCAGTACAACTGAATAAGTCTGCTTCTCTCGTCCCTCTTGTTGTAGTTTATAGCTCGTGTGTATGACGTACGTGGCAAAGAAGTTGATGCATTTCTGCCCATCACTGTGAATGTGGAGGATAAGAATGACAACACCCCTGAGTTTATTGGAGGTCGCTTTTTCTCTGTACAAGAACGGTGCAGGGCAGGTAAAGAGGCATTTTCACCTATCAAGTCCAGACCATACAGTATATCACACCAAAATCAAAAGATCAAAATAAGAATTCATATTTTAGAAATCATGTAAAGCCTGTTTTTAGGCCCATTATATTTTTTACATTATTTTTATAACAATTTGCATCAAAAAAAGATGATTTTTCTTATATTCTTATTATTATATATTCTCATAAACACTCTATAGTACATTATACATCATGGTAGTATTTGTTTTGCTACTTTTAATATACACTTTACTACTTTAAAAGTAAAGTATATATTAAAGATGGTGAAAAATACTAATTTACTACCACTTTAAAAAAAATGTGTACTTCAAAATTATTTTGATAAAAGTAATTTTAGTACTTTAGTTCAACTTTTTTTTTTTTAAGTTAAACTGTTTCATCTAAAATGTATATTTTATTTTAACTAATGAAAACAATTTTCACAAAATATATAAACGTATAATATATATTTTTTTATAATCACTCATTTATTTCTTATTCATTTTTTAATGATATTTTGGGGTGAAATATGACCCAGACATTTCTTGACAGGCTTTTGTGAGATTTTTGTGAGATAACTTTTATGCTAACTGAGAAATGCAGTAAAATATACTGAACCAACCCTGATTTTTTTTTAGCATGTTTAAGTATATTTGTATTCTGTTTTTCAGGTACTCCTATAGGACAAGTGAATGCCACAGATAAAGATCTGGCAAACACCACACACACCTTGATCAAGTTTACTCTGCTCAATGCTACTGACATGTTCTCCATTGAACCTTTTACTGGAAAATTGACTGCTAAAACCAACACTTTAGACAGAGAGGTATTTTTCTATCCTTTAATAGATCCATGTGTTAGTGTGTTATAGGGCTGGTGTTGCATCTACAATGTCTTTCTGTGTTGCATTTTCAGATGTATTCAGTCAGGGAATAATGTACTGTAAATAGTAACGTTTTTTGTTCCTCCCACTCAGGCTCAGGACAAAGTCTATGTTAACATAGAGATCAGAGATATGGGCGGCAATCCTACTGGGCTCTTCAACACAGGAATAATTGTGATTACTCTCACAGATGTTAATGATAACCCTCCTACCTTTAAAGAGAAGTTGGTATGACCCTTTTATTGTCTATATAGTAATACAAGAAAACAAGTTAACTACTAAACGAATCAGAACAAGAATATCAATGTAAAGCTAACATTGGTATTTTCATACTTATCATCTACAACTGGAAGGCTGTATGTCGTAAACTGTGGTATCTAATGTTTAAAGAATCAATCAAATTGGGTTTTTTTAAACAGTACAAAGCCAACGTCAAGGAGAACCAAGAAAATGTGCTAGTTACTAGGATCCCAGTGGAAGACAAGGATTTGGTGAACACACCCAACTGGAAGGCCCTCTTTGAGGTCACCAAAGGAAACGAGAGTGGACAATTCAGGATGGAGACGGACCCCAAAACCAACGAGGGGCTTCTGTATGTCATAAAGGTGAAATAATTAAAATATTAGTCTGTAGAGAAAGTTACCAGCATCTGAAAATAACATTTTTGACAAGAAATAAGCCCCATATGTCCTTGATTAATCAGTTTTTGGCAGAATTTGCACTTTGCTAAGTTCATGTTGGGATAGTTTCTGCTGAGGGTCATAGTCATTATCTTGAGAGCTCTTGTTCACTCTCTGACAGGGTTGTGTTGGTTTTATTTATAGCACCTCTGCAGGGTTAGCTCACCATTTTAGGGCTGTGTGTGAAAATGCTTGTCTGTTGGATATGCATGTGCAGTCCAACCACACCCTGTTATACAAAGTACATCCACCAGACAGGCAAACACAAGTTCTGCTCTTCAAGGCAGAGCTTTTGACAGCTCTTCACAGTAGTGATGCTATTGAGAACAAGAGAGTTTTGAGAATTTTGTGTAGAGTATGTTCTCAATGTTCTCATTCCCCTTATGCTCCCCTTTCAGGGATTGGATTTTGAAAAAACTCCAGTGGTGAAGCTGGAAATAACTGCCCGTAATGCAGTTCCACTGGTTGGGACTGATGCCGCCTGGCTCTCTGTGCCATTAGAGCTTAGTGTGGGAGATGAAGATGAAGGACCAGAGTTCAACCCTGGCATTCTAAATCTTAAAGTCAAGGAGAACGTTCCCAATGGAACCGTCATTGGAACCTATAAAGCTCTGGACCCAGAGACCAAGAACAGCAATGGAATAAAGTGGGTTTTGTTTTTAGCTAACAAAATAATTATCTTTAAAGCACCACCATACGCATTCAAGTGGTCTTTGATCTTCTGTTCTGTTGCGCTCTGACTAGCAAGAACATGCCTAATGTAAATGCTCCCAAAGACATGAATTTGAAAACCACCTTAATAGCTGGGGTTCAGTCACGTGATTATGATGACGCGCGAAATTCAGATGGAGGGCAGGGAGTGAAGAGCGCAATGGACGAGATGGAGGAAAGTCCGTACTGAACTACTTTACACGCTATGACAAGAGAAAGATATAAACAAAAAATCAAACCTATGTTGGACGTGATCCTTACGTTATGAAGAGGAGCGATTTTTCAACTGAATTGAAAGATTTTCCTGCCATCGAGGCGGTAGATATCATTAACTACCTCGTCTTACAGACATACTTTGCCTTTACAAAGTTCGGAAACGTTACACAAACATAGCCACTTAAGTTGTATTAACTCACCTTTGACAAAGTGATCACTGCACACACGCGCATTTTCCCATTCGGCTCCTCCCGACCGCAGACGTAGGTTTGCAAGCCGTTTTTCCGGAGTTTTTCGGTCAATGTCTTGCATTTTCGCCCCTTATGAACAACAGCTTTTGGTACAAGATAAAAACTCCTCGTGGTTTGGTCGATTTAAGTAACCATAAATGACGCAAAACATAGGCATTTTGAGTTTGTTATAGTGCTTTCTAAATACAGCAAATCACTTCCTGCCCTCCATTTGCATTTCGCGCCATGGCAACGCAGCGGCGTGACGTCATATGAAAACAAGCTATTATAGGTTATAAAAACTGTATGCCACATTTTGAATGTACTTTCTCACTTTTCTATTCTATCTATGTGTAAGGTACTATAAGGTGACTGACCCAGGTAACTGGATCACTGTGGTGGAGAGCACTGGAGAACTGAAAACAGCCAAGACTATAGACCGAGAATCACCATTGGTCCACCAGGACATGTACAACATAACCATCAGAGCAGTGGATGAGAGTGAGTACGGACAGTCACATGAATCAAGCTTAAGCCATTAACTTAATAATCTGTGGACATTCAGCACTACACACACCTATGCAGAACTGAAATCTTTGTGTATTTGTGTGTACACTCTGTACCCTTTTGTTCTATGAACAGGAGTGTGTGTTTTCTCTGACTGTTAATGAAAGACCATTTGGTTGGGTGTGGTTGGGTAGAAATAGCTCAAGGCTTCTGAGAAGTCTTCGTCAGGGTTTTGGCTTGTGATGTAACATTTCTTTCTGATGATGATCAGCATGTACTACCTGATAGTACATGTTCTAAACACTGAATGATGTTGAATGAGATTCCAGGAAGAGCTGGTGTACATTCGTCTCTCTTGAACTCTTATGTGTCATTTATCACTGGACATTATCAGGTTGCTTTTCTGTAGGTTGCTAATGGCGTTCTTGCTGCTTGATGACCTAATTTTATTGGTGGGCTGTGAAACTGGTCACAGCTTTGTAGAAACTGATGTACGTTATACGTACATTGGTATTTATGTACGTATAACCTGTTAAAAAAGGGGGATTTTGTCACATTGTCACACTTTAAAAATGTAGAGCTAGTCATAATTGTGAGATGTGAAGCCATAATTGTAAGAAAGTCGCTATTTTGAAATATAAACTTGCAGTTATTATAAGATTCAAAGTTGCAATTTTGAGATGAAGTTGTCAGTTACAAGAAATAAGACTGCAATTGTGAGATATAAAGTCACAATTAAGAGAAATTTGCAATTGAGATACATTTGTCGTTATTATGAGAAATAAGGTCATAGGTATGGTAAGTTGCATTTGTGAGATGTGTGAAGCCATAATTGTAAGTCGCAATTCTGAGAAATAAAAGTCGCAATTACCTTATTTTTCATTAAGATGACATTTTCTCCGAATTTTTCACGTCTTTAAACTAGACAAATAATCAAGTCTGCTATGGTGTGTGTCTTTACAGCATGGGCAACTAGTTAAATTCTGACAATGTGTCCCTAAATTCACATGGGACTCACTGGAATCTCTTTTTCCTCAGGTAAGAAGGCAGGAAAGGGGATGGTTATAATCCTGATCGAAGACGAGAATGACAACATGCCTGTGATTCCGAGTACTGACCTGGTCATCTGTAGTAAGGGTGATGCGCTGAGCTCAGTTCTGGTTGAAGCTGTGGACCTCGACAAGCCACCGTTCTCCACTCCCTTCATTTTCGAATTTGGAGCAGAGCATGATGGGAAGTGGAAACTGAAGGATAGAACAGGTAAGGATAGACAGTAGTGATGTTTCTTGAGGCTGGGGGTTACAGATTTAGAATTTGATTTATCAGCATTTTCTTTGTTATTATTTCTCAATATTGCTAGAACTTGACAAACAAAGGCTGATAAACTGAAAGCGTTAATGCTGCAGAGTGATGATCACAGACATCATGTCCTCCTCTGATTTAGATTCCTCCGTGGTGCTGGAACAGGCAGTGCCCTTGCCAAACGGTGTCTACTCTGTCCCACTCTTGGTGAAGGATCTGCAGGGAGTCGGGAAAGAGCAGACCATGAATGTGCGAGTGTGCTCCTGTGAGAGGGAGGAAAATGGAGTGGGGATATGTGGGGCTCGAAGTGCGTCTACCTCTTTGGGCAGTTTGGGCATCCTTGCCTTAGTGCTCTCTAGCCTGCTGTTGCTACTGTTATGTGAGTGCCCCCTTCTGGCTATGACCACCATATATTACATACATTTATTTGATATATTGCATACATTTACATCAACTTACACTACCGTTCAAAAGTTTGGGGTCGGTACGATTTTAAATACTTTTAAAAGAATTCTCTTCTGCTAACCATGGCTGCGCTTATTTGATTAAAAATACAACAAAAATCAGTTATAGTATTACATATTATTCCAGTGTAAATCAGCTGTTTTCTGTGTGAATATATAGTAAAGTGTAATTTATTCCTGTGATCAAAGCTGAATTTTCAGCATCACCAGTGTCAGTGTCTTCAATGTCAAATGATCCTTCACAAATCAGTATAATATGAGGATTTGATGCTCAAGAAACATTATTATTATCAATGTTGAAACAGTTGTTGGTCTGTCAGTTGTACAGTTTTTTTTAGTTTTTTTTTAGGATTCTTTGATGAATAGGAAGTTCAAAAGAACAGCATTTGTTTGAAATATAATCTTTTGTAACATTATAAATGTCTTTACTGTCCTTGATAAATAAAAGTATTGATTTCTTTCCTCCAAAAAATAAAAATAAAATTCTCACTGACCCCAAACTTTTGAACGGTAGTGTATATTTATAAATAGACAAAATTTTTAGGTAAGAGTTTTGTAATGTTTTTTGAAAGAAGGGCTCATTTAAGGCTGCTTTTATCAAAAATACAGTAACAATTATTTTTAAATATGATTTATTCCTGTGATTGCAAAGCTGAATTTTCAGCATCATTACTCCAGTCTTCAGTGTCACGTGATCCTTCAGAAGTCATTCTAATATGCCGATATGCTGCTCAAAATACATTTATTATTAATATCAATGCTGAAAACAGTTGTGATAGTTAAAATCTTTGTGGAAACGGTGATACATTTTTTTCAGGATTCTTTAATGAATAAAATACCACCAAACACTTGTGTGTGTGTGTGTATATATATATATTATTATATTTTATAGGCTAAAATAAAAACAATTATCAGAATTGTAATGCATGGATCTGACTCTCTTTATCTCACTGCCCTCTGTTTTTCTTTTCGTATCAGGTCTGTTAGTTCTCTTCATATGCAGTACTAAGAGAGACAAGCTGTACATCAATGATGATACTGGAACAGGAGGAATGCTGCTGAAATCCAACACTGAGGCTCCTGGTGAAGAAGTGGTAAGAAAAACACCTCCTTTTAAATGGTTTAATTAATCAGAGAAACCACAAAGAGACTTTAACCATGTTTGTGTGAATGCTTTTCTCTCTTTAGAAGGAGGGAGCTCTGATGATAATTCCTGGGACAGATGCAATGGACGGGTCACTCCAGAATGGCGCCATGGTCAGTAAAAACGTGAATTCAGCTGCAGGACATATCGGGCAGCAGTTTTTCCAGGGAGGCGGCGTGTACAACACCACCACTCAAGATTTTGGGACAGAAAAGTACTACACATCCGGACGCTATGATAACAACCTGTATGGCAATGCCGGAAATTTCCAGAAATTCTCAAATACGAGTGCTCTCGACTCATGGAATACGAATGGCCACTACTTGGACAGAGTGAGCTAAACTTACATGACATTTTTAATCAAGTTAACAATAATATATGAAGAAATTTTCACCAACACCTGTACATATGTTTAATACAAATCTAACTTAGTAATTATTAGGGCTACCCCTGACTAAAGATTTCAGGAAGAATGTTATAAGTAAACACTCTGCTAACATTGTTCTACATTACAGATAAATACTAAACCATATTACTGAGCCTTTAAAACATAAATTAAGATCTAGTGCATGCATAAAGTTTGCCGCGATGATTATGAATGTGTTAAAAAAATATCAGAAAGGAGAATCTCTAAACATTTTTATAATGTATCAGTAAACTAGTGTTTGAGTCCGGGTTGCCTGCAAAGATGAAGTTGACGATGCTGAATGCAGTAGAGTGGATGCACCTTTAGATAGAAATGGACATTAAGTTAAAGGGTTAGTTCACCCAAAAATGACAATTATCCCATAATTTACTCACCCTCATGCCATCCTTGGTGTATATGACTTTCTTCTTTCAGCCAAACACAATCTGAGTTATATAAAAAAAATATCCTGGCTCTTCCAAGCTATAATGGGAGTGAATGGTATGATTACAGTTTATAAAGTTATAAATATGGATATTTTTCTTCTTTGAGCTTCAAAATCTCAGTTACCATTCACTCCCATTTGAAAGCTTGGAAGAGCCAGAATGTTTTTTTAATATAAGAAGAAAGTCATATACAACTAGGATGGCTTGAGGGTGAGTAAATTATGGGATGATTTTTTGTCATTTTTGGGTGAACTGTCCCTTTAAGCATCATGCAGTAAGCTCCGTACTAATTTCTTCTACACTCCACACGAACACTTGGATATAATGCACCTTATATTGTATATAACGTGAGAGCGAGCGGCCACTTAAAGTGGCTAACATTACGCTACTACTTGGATGTTTCAAATGATAAGCCACGTTTGAAGTCAATGCATGATAGGCAAATGTTTGGATTTCCTTCCCAACATAATTACCACATAGACCAGCCATGTTAACAATCTGTCCGTCATGGACTATATGACTTCACCAATTCCTGTGGAGTTTATTTTTTTCTGCAGCCAACCGACTATTTAAAATTTGGTCGACTAAAGCCTTGTTTATTCTCGACGCGTCCGCAAGAGCGCGAAGGTGCGCGCGGCTAAAATGACGTAATTGCGGTATGGGCGGTCGTGCGCGTTGGGTGCGCAAGACCCCATTTCGCCTGGCGGTGTGCACGGCACTTTTTGTAACATTGCGCGCGGCGCCGCATCCGAAGATGAACGACTTCGAGCCGAATCTGGCCGAACTGGTACGTCTGTACCAGCATGTTTATGATCCTTCTATACACAGAGACATTTGCATTGATGGGCGACCATAAAAGCCTCTCATTTTGTGAATAGGAGCACATTTGGATTAAGCACCCAGTTTGCACTTGTCTAAAGTAACTGCTTATATTTACAAAATAAGCCTACAATAGCAGAAGTAAGCCCTGCTGATGAAATTAAGGTTTAAACACTCTTCAATAAGGCTTCAGTTGTTTAACTAGTTTACATGCAGTGAAAGTAATAAACCTACTGCATTTATTACTCTTTTTATATGAATCAGCAATTAATAAACTACTAATAAACGGCAAACTACTTCTTCACTGCTGATTCCTGGTGGTTTAGAAGAGAATTACTCCGAGTCCTGTCGTTTCACAGAATAGCACAACGGCGAGCGCGTCAAGTATAAACGCCTCGTCCGTTTGGAGAGATGCGCGCGCAGTCAGCGGAGACTCGCGCTTGTGCGGACGCGTCGAGTATAAACAAGGCTAAGCCTCTTCTCGTCGACTAACATTTGATCGATTATTATGGGGGCAGCCCTAGTAATATAATCTGACTAGCAAAGTAATGTTATTACACATTCATTAACATTGTAAAGTCATATTTTACACTTTCATGCACCATTGAAGACGTTTTCATGTGACCTAATTTTGACCCTTGTTTTGTGACAGAAACTGTCTTACTTTGGAGGGGAGGAGGAGGGGAGGTACGCGGACGACCTTCTGAAGACTTATGGTAATGAGGGGGCGGGCTCTCCTGCGGGCTCTGTAGGATGTTGTAGCAACTTGGGTGAACCGGAACCACTGGACTTTTTGAACACTCTCGGCCCCAAATTCAGACCACTGGCTGACGTCTGCTACACGACAAATAAAAGCGTAAAGTAAAACAAGAGGTGACTGAGACGAGAGAGCGCCGTATGCTGTTTGCTAGGGGCCGTCGAAGCAGACTGCAAAAAATCATGGTCTTAAACTGTATTTTTATCTTATTTCCCAGTAAAATATGTAAACATCCTAAAAACAAGATGAATTTTACGTGAGAAACAACATTTTCTGAATATGAGTATGAAAAAAATGTGTGTTTGACTCCATACGATATATTCTCTAAAAAAAGTCTATTTTTTGAGAATTTTGCTACTCAAGTACATTTGTTTTGAGTATGTTTAGTTATTTTTTACTGGAAAAAAATACTGATTTAGAAAATTACCATCGCAGTGCATGTATTTCTGCTGGATTAATCAAGTGTGTGTGTGTGTGTCTGTTAAGTTTTTGTGTGTGTGAATGATGCAAATAAGCTTTTCTGTAATTGTTTGCTACATTTTGCTCTGCTTTGCAATCCTCTTCCTCACAGATCTGAGGAGGGACAGTTTAAATATTAGTATACAGAAGATACATTATTTTCTGCCCGATCAATTGCAATTCTCAGCCGCGTGAAGTATTATCTGAGTCTATATTTACAAGACCATGATGAAGTGTGCTCATAAACATTTTTTGGGCAACGTGTGGAATTTCACGCGCTCTTCAGCCCCAAAAGCACTGACACCTGACATCAACTCTGGACGCTAAACTCCTCCTTAGGCCATAATGTATTACTGGAGTTTTTGTGTTATTTTTTACATCCTGCTTAGGCAATTATTTTGAATTTCAAAGAAAAGAAACCAAATATGTTGGATGTAAGTCACTTTATACTTTGAATGAAGATGTAGGTTAAAGAATTGGTAAAAAAAAAAAAAAAAAAAAACTACACTTAGAAGTACCTTTTTTTTTAGCTCTTTGATATTTCAGTTTTGTTATGACAGCACAAGTTTTTCTTTGTATTTGTGGTAAACAACATATATATTTAGAGGGTTGTTCTGATTGTAGATTTATTAAAGGGATGTTCTTTGTAAATATTTGAATAAAATTCATTACAGACATTTTATTATTGTCTAATGCTGTCTTTACGCTGCTAAGGCGGCACAGAAACTTCAACTGCAGCACATACGATGAAAAGGCAAAGTTACACATTGTTTAAGGCTGAACAAAGATGGCAAAAGTGTAGTTACACAGAAATTACAATTGCAAAAATGATACAATGAAATGAATGTGATGTTCTTTGTAAATATTTGAATAAAATTCATTCACAGTTCACGCGCCGGCGCCTCCGTTTCTTATCTATCGTCTGCTATTTACTTCTTATTTATTAAACCCAGGCAATTGGTTGATGAAACATTGATTCAAATTAAGATACAATTAATGCAAAACGAAATTCAGGTTAAAGAAAGGTTTTGTGTTTTCTGTTTGATGTCTCTGTGAAAGTTTTAAAGCATTTTTTATGCTGCTTTCAGAGCGCTCACGTCTGTAACGGAGAACACGTCCATAATATCGTTTTTTCCTCATAAATGCAAACCCGAAATTATTATTTTTTTTTTTTAAATATTTTATGTACTGTGGAGACTGAGCGCCAACCCTTCTTCATTCGCTGGGTAGTAGCCTACTTTGGTTTGCGCAGTGTAATTCACATAATCAGTAAAAATATATTTTGCCTACTAAAGTTTTTTTTTTAAGAAATCAGAAATCCCTCGTGGCTACGCCACTGCCACATTTGAACCTGACTGTGTTAAACACACCACATACTCAAGAACATCAAACCAAATGCTTGGCTTACATTAATGTGTAATATAAAATCTGACCATGGAGTTGACTTTGGCGGAAAGCTGAAAGTGATTGCTGATAGGCTGTCCCAATCAGTGGCGCCTGCACAATCCAATCACGTTTGAGAGGGAAACAACAAATTGACTTTACTTTTTTTTTTTTTTTATTCGGGTACTCACGGTTATGGATAGAAATGTATTGGAGTAAAGAGTACAATATTTGCCTCTCAAATGTACTTGAGTAAAGTCATGAGTACTCCCCAAAAATGATACTCGAGTAAAGTACAGATCCCTCAAAATTGTACTTAAGTACTGTACTCAAGTAAATGTACTCCGTTACTGTCTGGCTCTGGTTATAGGCCTACTACATACAAAAACACGAAAGCCTCCAGTTAACAACTCCAGTGACTTGCTTTATGACTGATTCAAATAGAGTCAAGAAAAGGATCAAGTAAAATGAGTGTGCGGACTGCGGAGGATGTGAATGATTTCATGAATATTAAGTAACTAATGCTAACTTTTAATCATGTTTATGATGTCATGTGCATTGTATTGTTTATTTTTGTCATACATGTCCACATTTGTGTTTCATTGCCTGTGTTACCCATAGATATCCTTAATAAAGGCTAGATGTCTTGTCCGCGCTGCTGGCCAATGGAGGTCGACGTCCGCACCTGGCGGCCATCTTGTCACAGGCAGCTCGCTCACTCGTAACATTGTGTAATGGTTGGAATGGTTCAACTTGCTCAATTTTCTACCGATTTTCAAACGGTTTGGTTTGTTATAAACGTCGGGATGACACTGCACACTTATGAATAATAAGTTAAATAATCATCCAGAATTATAGCCACATTAATAACGTTTGTAAGAAACCAAACCGTTTGTAAATCCGTCAAGATTTCAACGAGATAAGAGTAATTGTGTTCGTGCTGCTGATAACACAGAGCCCGCCAGAAAGCTTGCCTGTGACAAGATGGCCGCCGGTGATGACGATAGAGACTCCGCCTTAGACATCTAGCCTTTATTATGGATATGGTGTTACCCCCCTAGCATTGGTAGGTTAAGGATTAGTTGTGGGGGAGGGGGGAGGATTAGGATTAATCAGTCACTGACTTCAACGAGGGGGGGGGGGGGGGGTAATAATTTGGCAGGGGGTCGAAATTAGGCACATAGGCTTCTTTAGGTAAGAACTCTGTAAATAACAAACCTGTGCCCAATGAATCTTCCCCACTGCCATACCCGTTTCAATATATAAATAGACTATGTTTGCATAAAGTTCTTAAAATATTATCAAATGCGTTCAACTTAAAAAAAAAAAAAAGACTTGTGTGTTGTCAAGTCTGCTAAGGTAATTTATTAGCTTTGTGTGTTGAGGAATAAACGTAAAAGTTCGCAATTTACTGTTTTTCTGTAGTAGCCAGGCTAGTGTATGGAAAAGTAGCTTTTTTATCTCACAAATCTACCTTTTTTTTCTTGCAACTGTGATTTTAAATCTCACAATTCGGACTTAATAACTCTCAATTGCATGTTTATACCTCACAATTCAGAGTAAAAAGTCAGAATTGCAATTTATAATGAACATGGAATTGCGAGAAAGAAATTCTGAATTGCAAGTTTAGCCTATATATCTGTCAATCCAGACGTTTTTCTCTGCATTGTAAGATATTAGGAAAAAGGTCGCAATTACCTTTTAATTGCAAATTTATAAATCACAATTCCGATTTTTCCTTTCACTTCTGCTAGGTTAAGTGAGGATTGGATTTTCTCCCACAGCTCTCTGATCTGAAGGGGCGAGACAGGGCTGTTAACACGCGGTGACTGAGGTGGTGTTGCTGAGTGCGTATGTCTGTTGTTACTAGTGTATCATCATCCTCAGTGTCCCTGAAGTCCAAGCCTAATATATCAGTGCCAGTGCCCTGTCACTGTGAAGTATCTCGCCAAGGTTTCGGCCTTAGAAAATGCAAGAATTGATTCAGCATTCAATGAAAAGTCTGAGTCAGGCAAATTGCCAAGTTCACTCTTTATTCAAGGAAACACAGAGTCTGAATGCAAAGATGCTTCCTTTAAACGGACAGAAAGAGTTTAAAGCAGAAAGGAATCATGTTAGTCTCAGATTTCATACAGCAGGTAACCAGAGAAGGAACTGAAGCGGCTTTGTGAGTCCCTCTTGCCTACTTCACTCTTGTTCAGCCGAACATACACCCGGTCTCCAGCTTTCAGCTGCAGTACTGCACTGTTGCTCGCAGTATCTGTATGCAGGACGTCCACTGCCGCTGCACTCGCCACAACCTGGAACACACAACCCCGGAAATGATCAGATTTATTACACTGACTGCACAAAAAGTGTGTTAGTGTGTTTTATATATTGACTCTTTTGACAAAGCGTCTATATCCAACGCACATGGCACCCTTTAGCGTCATATGAGACGCAGATATATGGCGCCTCCTAGTGGTCTAACCCTAACACTACCCCAGACCTAAACCTACCCAAAACCGAAGCGTGTTATATTGACGCTAAAGGGTGCCATGTGCGTTGGATATAGACGCTTTGTCAAAAGAGTCAATATATTACGCTTTGGGATGAGAATGCGTTGCAGCGAATGCGTTGGTTTTATTACGTAGCAGTCTTTTACAAAAGCAACAAGGCACGTGTTTTCAAACTGAGGTCCAGTAACCCCAAGGGGGGGCTAGAGGGCCAGCAGAAAATGTGAGATTTTTTTAAAATATAATATATATATAATTAAATTGTAGGGCTTTCGAACTTAACTTCACATGTCTTATGGTCAGTTAAAATATTGACCAAATTTGAGATTTGTAATGTTTAATGTTTTTCATTCTGGTTTGAAATCAAGTGCGTTTTTATCAGAAACAAATTGATTTATGCTCATTTAAAAATTATTTTAAAAAAAAAATCATTTTAATTGATTTGATGTATAAACCCGAAGCTAAACATTTTCAAACATTATTTCAATAGTGTGTAGAAAAAAAATATAAAAACAATATAAATAAGATTTCCCAGACAGCCTTTTAAAAACTTGCTTTGGATTTAGCCTACATTGGCACTTACTTAACTTTGTTTTATATATATATATATAAAATTAATATATTTGTATTTAGCAAGGATGCATTAAAGTGATCGCAAATACATTTATATTGTTATAATACAAATGTATACAAAAATTTCAAAATACATTTCTGTTAAAAAATGCCATTCTTTTAAACTTTGTATTCATTACAGAATCCTGAAAAAAAGTTGTATCAGTTTCCGCAAAAATATTAAGCAGCACAACTACAACATTGATAATAATAAGAAAT